ATAAATTTAAGAGTTTTGCTCATGTAAAACTAACTCAAAAACACTTCCACGCTACCAAAATGGCTAAAACGGAGATGGACAAAATATATTTTGCTTAATATAATAATGGATCAAATAAAATCACAAACCATGCAATCACCATAATTAATCAATCACAAACTAGAAATTCCAACTGGGCTTTTGTTATATTATTATGCTGACATTGCCGGGTCTCAGTGCAACTGTAATTCCTACAATTGACTGCATGAGAAAGAGAAAATTTCTACAGTATTTTTAATGTTAACACACTTAACCATATTTATTATTAAATATAAAAGATATAATTAAATTTTAATTTTATTAAATTTATCATATAATTATTATTAACTATTTTAATACTTTTAATATCAAGATGTCATAATTTTTTTTTCCTTAAATGCATCTCTATTTGCCAAAAAAAAAACATAAACTACAAATTAAATAAAAATCAAAGATGAATTAGATTAAACTTACACTTAACAAGATTTAAACTTAGAATTTTTGGAAAAGGAAATATTGTTACAAATGTTTTAATAAAAATATAAATCTTAACATTGATCAAGATATTTGATACACATTACTTAGCAAAGACTGTCAGTGCAACTTAGAATCCAACATTAATTTAGGGAACCTCCACGGAAGCAATGTCCCAAGGAATTTCCATTTTTTAACCAAGGAAACCCAAAACGCTACTAGTAACTAATTAGTGGCAGATTCCTTACCGTAGACTTTGTAATAACTCTGTATAGCTTGGAAAAATAGACCCAGAATGGCACCGACGAAAGCAAGGAAGCTCCAGGGGCTGCTGAAATAGGTGTAATATAATTGAACCACGTAGGTGGCCAATGCGCAGTTGCAATGTTCTTGGATCGCCAATTTCACTTCTGAGTATGCCTCCGGATCTGGCACCAGGTTTTTGCTGATCGTGTTGAACAGGTCCGCAACATCTTTGTCGCTGCCCAGTTCGTTCTGCAGCACACCGGAGTCACTTAGTTCCCTCACATCTTCCTCCCTATCGATCAAGTAATCGAGGAAGGATATGTAGGAGGTCACCTCGAATTTGTTCTCGAAATCGTAACTCATCTCGAACGCTATCAAGTTCATGAACTTAGGTCCCGTTGAGTCGTCCACTGTGATGGGGGGAACATTCAGGGATGCAAAACAGAAATTGAGGATGGCCCGGCTAAAAGAAACGTCTTTGATACTGCTTGTCTTGCTCATTCTTAACCGAATCCCTCTTTCTTTTAGCTCCTTTATGTTACGAAATGAGTGTCCGTAGTGTCTTGGTTTCCTTTCTCTAAAGATATATGCCTCTAGAAATCTCTGAAATGTCTCAGCCGGTCTCTCTGCCGATTTCACTTCAAAAATCATTTTTTCACGCAACAGCGCCAGAAGATGAGCAGGCTGCTGTTCTTGTGGCTGCTGAAAATCAGCAGAAGCTGGATTTTGTTGTTGCGACTCCTGAGCTTCAGTAGTGTTTTGTTCTTGTTTCTGCCGTCCGGCCAGGCTCACAACATTTTTTGAGATAAAGTCCTCGATGGACTTGTTCAACTCCTTAACACGAGTGGACGAGCACGAGCTTATCAGTAGCTGGAGGAGTTGGTAGGGAAGTTGGTTCTCAAGCAAGAACAAATCCAGCTTTGCGAATGTGAGCAGGTCAGTTTTAAATACCAGATCCGTCAACTTGTCATTTGCCGCACAGTCTATGAAACGCAGCAATGCACAGCCATCCACCAGGAAGATGAACGCCAACTGATAATCATTCCACGTCTCTATTTCCTTGCTACCGTAGCAGGCCTTCAAGCTCGTTAACTCTTCCTTGATCTTGTGGTAGAGAGCTTCTTTCGTCGTGCCGCTACCTTCAACGAACATTGCTGCCAGTTTGAGCTTGGCCTTCTCGGCTTTGTAAAGTCTTGAATCAGGATGCTTGGAGTGGTGGAGTGGACCAATTGCAACAAAATTTGGTTCAAAAAACCTTTTCAAGCTCTCGTTGTTGCGTAATATATGAGTAACCCTTCGTATTTTCGGCTTGGTCATGTCAGGCAGGTCTTCCTCCAAGGTTCTGAGATTTCTTTCCTCCTCCTTGCTGAAATTCCATTCATCTTCCACTGAAATTTGGTGCTCCACAACCTCAGACTTTTGAGACATTTTTCGAACTGTGTATGGTAAATTTTGCAGTCTATGATGCTATAACAGAATTGTTCTATATAGTGGGGTAAAAGTTTTTGCAGTTATTAAAATCATAAAGCCATTGCTTCATGTTAGAGCAACAAAAATATTCGTTCCGACTTGAAAGTACTAAGATAATGAAAGAATATGACACAGAAGTGTTGTTTTCCGCATGTGAATATCACTTTATTCTGTGATTTGAAGAATTCTACTCAATAATTGAGTAAAAGTTTTTCTAGAAAAGAGGGCATTTGTTCACAGAAATGTACTCGATCGTTTGAAGGCTAGGATATCATCGTGCATCACAAAAGAAAGTACTACACATGTTTGAAAGCTAGGATTCCATCGTGTGACACAAAAGGAAGTCCCACAATTGTTTGAAAGCTAAAACAGGGGATCCCCTGCTTCCCAATCCCTACTACTGACTACAAAGTACCTGAACATTTCTAAAATATTTGGAAACAGCCGCGAAAAACTACACTTTGGTTGCAATTTATGAAGAAGAAGAAAAAAGCAGAAAGGGCACAAATGGTACTGACAATTCTTGTCAATTTGCTCATAGCATCAGGGAAAAAATGACTTAAGTTTCTCTATCACAGATATTTTCCCAATTCCCATGGCTAGCTGCAACATGAAGAGCTGTCTTGTCTATTTTATTGACAATATAAGCGGCATCTTTATCATTTTTTAAATAACAATTCAACAATGGATATGCAGGATTGTGTTCTTATCAAATCTTGTCACCAGTAGCTTGAGGTTCTTTATATTGTGAAAAGCATCAGAGCGATCTCCTCCTGCTTTATGGTACAATTTGCAATCGATGCTACTTGGTTGGTTATTAGAATCTCCCAGAACCCGGTTGATATCAATTCTTGTAGATCCATCACCCAATGAAAATTATGCAGGTGAGTTCAACACAAAATTTATATTCAATTTAAAATTAATTGATAATAGGTAGAGTAATCATTATCTTCTATGAGAAGGTTTTAAATTTCTATATGCTTTAGATAGAAGGAAGATAACAGACAAAAAATGTTCTACATTTTATGATGAAAAATCACCTATATTTATATATATAACAAAAGCATACCATTGAGGGGGAAGAAAGAGAAAAAAAACTGCATCCTCATCAGATTAATGAATGATTAAAGGAATTCTTGTTGATTGGCTGTCTCATATGTAGTTAACATCCTTTGGGAAATATTTTATAGTGAGAGGTAAAGGTTTGGCTGAAGTCCTTGCTTCAAGATAGAGCAAGAATAAATCCGTTCCTTCATGAAATTATTTTCCCTGATGTCCTATGAAGATTATTACTTTATTTTGTGATTTAGAACAATTCTATCCAACAATTCGGTAGAAGAGGAGGAGACAGAGTTCTTCATGGAAAAGCATGGATTTCATCCTGTTTCATATGTGGAAGGAAGGAAAGGAGAGATCCAAACTGTTGTTGCATGTGGGTTCTGCATCGCGGTTGAAAAAAAGCTTGCAAATTTCAGCCTTTGAAATGGAAATTTGCTTGCTGCAACTTAGTCCATGCAACACTTTGCAGCCCATTGCATTTATTGTGGGTCGTTGGCTTTTTGGCTATAAAAGGCCATTTGGCCATTTGGCCATTCCGCAAATCATCAAGAGAAATACAAAAGAAAGCAGAGTGAGCTCTAAAAAGTTTCGAGACAGCTGTTAGTGCTTTGGGTGAGGGTGAGCACTAAGCCACTAAGCAATAGTAGAGTAGTTAAAATTCTTTGTTGGGTGTTTTTTTGAGTGTGTCTTATGTTTGAAAACATTTTTAGCAAAGATTTAGGTGTACTCGAAGATTTGGTATTTGTGAAAGTAATATAAATTATATCTCTTTACTTAATAGTAAATCTTTTTTTTAAGTACCCTTATGGACATAAACTCAATAAATTGGAGTTGAACAACATAAATGTCATGTCTTTTTTACGGTGGTGTAATTTGTTTTATTTCATTAATTTCTTAATCTTATAATAGGTTAATCAAAATATCAAGTTGTTGAAATAGGCCCAACATAAGCCCAATATCCAAACAGGGCCTAGACTACTGTCCACTAGCCCAAGTTGAGGGAGCACTAATGCAAGCATACCCACGTGACTAGCATCACGCGGGCCAATGAGATGCTTACATGTACAAATGCATGTTAGCACTTGGGGCTATAAATATCCCCAACTACCTTTGAGAAAGGTAATTAATCTCTACGTTTCTCTTTTTGCAATTACTCCTTGAGAGTCTCACTCTCTAGAATATCGAGTATTGTTGACTTGAGCGTCGGAGTGTTTTCCCTAAGGAAACATTCTCGGGATTTACAGGTGTAGAAGCAGTTGAGGACTTCAACAGTGTTGGATTGCGAAGTTGCCCAAACACAAGTAATTTGTTTCAACACAACCATTAACAAAACAAGGCTAGATAGACAAAGCACCACCAAATTTTCAGCAGAAACAAACACTAGTATTTTTTTTTGAACAATTTATAATTATTTACAAGGTTAATTGAAAGAGAGAAGAAAAAGATTTTGTGGAGTTCGAATGTGCAATCCACCGAAAATAAACAGTAGTAACCCAAAACCAATGACACTTAACCGGCCGTTCAACAAACACTAGTATTTTATTGTCACATAAATGAAAAAAGTACTGAGTACTACAGTAGGTATTTCTGTTTTCACCAACATTATTTATTGCCCCCTTCTTTCAACAATTCCGATAGTGTTACTGCCAAGCCCTGCTTTGCAGCAGGGGAAACACCATGCCTTCCGGTAATCGACTCCAGAACAGCCTCATCAGCAAGTAGTCTGTTCTCTATGGCTGCATTCCCAGCTTGCGGATGGATCCATCTTTGGAAAAGTTAATCTGTTTGATGCAAATGAAACATCACGAACGATAAAGAACCCTGCTTTCAATTCCAAACAAATCGGTGTTTGGAAATTTCTTGTACTTACTGTTAACGATCCGTTGGGAGATATTGTGAAGAGAATGGAGGAGCCTGGTGGGAAGGTTTCATCCTTGAAGACCTCAAGGAATTTTTCAATGGCTTTAGCCTCCGCGTCTGTGTAAATTCCAAAAGATTTCCAAAATGCCACACAATTCTCGGTCACCTTCTCTGAGTATTGCTGACCCGTTCATAGTCAGATCATTGTCACCATTATGAACCCCTCAAAGGGACCAAAATTTTGATAACTACATTTCTGTTTTATTAATAGTATTTTGGATTTACTAAATTTATTAGTTTGGGCAAACGAAACTTAATTTTTTTGAG